ATCACGCTCAACTTCATCTACCATCAGCTCTGATAACAATTTGTTGGAAGCGCGCAGCAGAAATCCGATACCTATCTCCTAGGAAAATCACCAAGAGGAAATCCAAATTTGAGCCTGTTTACATATCTTATTGGACCTATTTTTACTCAAAACGCTTAAGCCAATGAGTTATGGACCAACTAAGATATATTAAGTGCTCTACACCACGCCAATTCTCCGACGTGAAATTTCTCTAATACGACTCACACGTGCATGCTAACACCTTTTTTTTTTAGATTTCTTTTTTGGCCCCCTGTGGGTACATTACTTCCTAAATCATAATATTTATATGGAGGAGAGGAGAGGAGAGGAGAGAGAGAGAGAGAGAGAGAGAGAGAGAGAGAGAGAGTCGTGAGGAGATGAATTTTATCATTAAGGGGAATAACTTCTATGAATTGAATAAACCCTTAAATGCTATTCTGATGTGACATCAAGGGTCTTCAACAAAAGATCTAGAGGGGTTTCGAGGGGATGGACCGTAGATTTTCCACACCCCTATATCAAATTTTCTCAAGAGTAGCCATGAAAATACCAATTTTGTCAAAAGTGAAAAGGATTGTGCTATTGTGGAGTTGACAATGGGGGAAATTATGGGCATTTTAGGAGGGAAAGTGTAGATTGTAAAATTAGGTTATTGGAAAGCAAAAGAAGACTACGGTTCCTTACCAAAAAAAAAAAAGAAGAAGACTACGGCTTTCCGATGAGCCGAATGAAAGCAGTGATTTTGGCCAAAAAAAAGTATTTATAAGACTAGGGCTTTGGATTTGGTAGCTTTCCAACTAATAAATTTATTGCTTCAATTGTCCAATGCCAGCATGAGTAGATAGAAAACACACATCGTAGCTTTCTTTCTTGTCTCACTTGAAAATTTGGAAATACTAGGCGTTTAATCTTGTGCAAGAAGCACCGATATAGCTCAATTTTCAGACATGCAATTTCGAGACTCGATTTCACCCTAGAGTTCAAATTTCAAATTTGGTTGCTTGTTACATGTGTAGTAAAGGAGGGGACAATCTTCGATAACATCGTACTACTCCATTCACAAAAGCCACCATGCTACTCTTTAGATAAAGATATGCATCGAAATTTATTGCACACCAGAAAATTGAAACGAAATTATGGACTTGCTTCATGCCGAATGGATCCTCATCAACGTAATTTAGTAGGTTGCCTCATGTGGGACTCAGATGATCAGAGGCTAATGAGTGCTTTAGATGCGCTCCATCCCAAAGTGTATGATATATATCCTCCAAATCGCAAGATTATTAGTATTACCAATATAATTGATGAGTTAAGAAAACAAAAACAGAGAAGAAGTAGAGATCTCAATCCCATGGTAAGAACCCTTTTTTCTTTGTATTTTATTAACTTGAATGTCTAAATTGTTTCATACAGGTTATATTATTATATTGGCATAAGGTGAGGGCGTCATAGTACGAAATTTCTAGAAGAATGTTGTGGAAAAGGGGTCATTGCGTATTACTATGTGATAACAAGATAGTCAAATATATATATGGATCCTAGGATAGGATGTACGTGGGACTTGTGTAGCCTTCTTTGGAAAAATTGTCCAAAAAGTACTAACCCTATGCACTTTGCTAATTTGGTTCTAAACATTTCAATTTTACCAATTGAGTTATAAACCTTCACATTTTTACTAATTGAGTCTGTCCGGCTAATTTTGGTCAAAATTCGCTGATGTGGATGCTGGCCGTCTTATGTGGCACAGCTAGTGCCGACGTGGACAAATTTTTATAATTTTTTAATAATTTTTTCAAAAATTTATTATTTATATTATTATTTTACTTTTTTTCTTTGCTTTTTTTCTAGGTTTTTTCTCTACCGGTGAGGATCGCCGGCCGCGGGCAAGGGCCTTTGCACCCTCACCAAGGCCTCTGCGGCCGCGACAGCCGCAACCAAGGCTGCACAGCCGACGAGGGTAACTGGTGACCCTCACCAGCTGAGAAAAAAAGTAAAGAAAAAAAGAAAATAAAAAAATTCAAAAAATATTATTTAAAATTGTCAACGTCAGCGATTTCCGGTCAAAATTGGCCGCATAGACTCAATTGGCAAAATTTAAAAGTGTATGATTCAATTGGCAAAAGTATAATAGATTTTGAACTTTTTGGATAATTTTCCCTGCCTTATCAACTTTCTTTGACTCTTAAAAGAAGTAATTGATGGAGGAAATCTTTCTGACAATTATTGAACTTTAGACTTCATAATTTACTTAATTTGATTCGACTTAGGGATATTATTTATCCACGAAACCAAAAATAAATGCATTGAAGCATGTACCCAAAATCCTAGTCAGTTGCGAGATGAAATTGGGGGGTGTATACAGCAGAAAAATATTACAATATAAAGCCTCATATATTCTATAGACTAATGAGATAACTTCAATAAGATAATTCGTTGAGATAATTATCAAAAGAGTCCTAAACTTATTTCATCTGTGCCACTTCAATCGTAAACCTTTCAATTTGATCAATTTAGTCCTGAACTCTTTAATAATTTTTCAAGGTAGTCTATCCAGCCTATTTTGACCGGAAATCACTGATGTTGACATTAGCCATCCTATTTTTAATATTTTTTTCCAAAATCTGTATTTATTTCTTTTCTTTTCTTCTCTTTTCCTTTTTTTTTTTTTTGTTTTTTTCACAATGGCTGGCGAGGTTCGCCGGAGCTCGCGGGCCACTGGGTGAGGGCTGCGACCACAATGAAAAAAGAAAAGAAAAGAAAAGAAAAAGAAAAAAATCAATAAAAAAATCTGAAAATATATTTAAAAATTAAAAAAAATTATCCACGTCAGGACCGGTTGTACAACGTAGGATGGTCTGCGTCCACGTCAGCTTCCGGTCAAAATTGGAAAGATTGAGGACTAAATTGATCAAATTAACCACCGCCCTCAGCGGCTGCGCTGGCTTCGGGCTCCCCTCCCCCCACGAAGGGTAGGAGTTCGAATCCCAGCGCTGGCGTTAGGGATTCTTAAGCGTGACGTCGTGGTGATGGGTCCTGCGCTAGCGTCACCTGGGTTTACCTCCTCGGCTGTTGGCCGTGCGGGGGGTTCCCGGGTTACCAAAAAAAAAAAAAAAATTGATCAAATTAAAAGGTTAGAATTAAATTGACACAAGCACAATAAGGGTGTGTTTGTTTTGATGAAAGTTTTTTCTCGAAAAGTGTTTTTCGGACTTTTATCCGTTTGGTTCTCCAAAAATGATTTGGTCAACGGAAAATACTTTCCGATCAACGCAAATATCATGTTTACTTTTAGGAAAGTGAATTTCCTTATCTAAAAAGGTGAAAATTCTTTTCAAAATTGCTCATCTTGAATTTGTTAATATTTTTTCTTTTATTTTCTTTCTTTCCCTTTCTTATCCTTTCTTTTCTTTCTAAGAAGGAAAACATTCATGTATTTTCTTTTCTTAATAAAAATAATTTTAAAATAACAAATAATTTTAAAAATACAAAAAATTTTGATAATTTTCACCATCAAATTTTCCTCACCAAACAACTCAAAATACTTTCTTAGTTTTTTTTAGGTTTTAGCCAAATATCGAAAAATGAATTCATTTTCCTGGAAAGTATTTTTAAGGAATTGTACATTTTTCGCAAAATAAATACACCCTAAGTTTAAGAGTTTTTGAGGAACTTCGCTCCCAACAATTGCCTCTTCCCTACCAACAAACAGATGATGGAGACATGGACGGTCCAAAACGAGATCGGGCCATGAAACTGCGATGCCATATGTTGTCAGTGACAATATTACTTTTATGGCCTTGCTGGTGCGACGTACCTCTCACCCCACCCCCCTCTTGACTCTCTCTCTGTATTCTTTTGTAGAGAGAGAGAGAGAGAGAGAGAGAGGCGGCCGAGTCCAACCAACTTTCAAGACAGAGCGCGAGAAAGTTAGCTCGCGACGAGGACGTGAAACTGGAGAGCGATAATTGGGAGAGATAAGAAAAAAGAAGAAGAAGAAGAACAGATTCAAAAGTTTTACAGACCTACAGCGCTGCCAGACAATGATCACGTTGCTGGTCTACAGCACTGAAGACCATAGTAAATAATGGCACTCCACGTATGAGCTGCCTGTCAGACCCTTTTTTTTTTCTTTATGTTTTTCTCTCATGGAACGTGCATGCCCACAAATTGTGTTCCTTCTTGTTTTCTAAGTATCGTCTGAAATTCTTTGGCTCAATGGAATCTCCTGTATACGTGCTTTTTAACACCTAGGGTTTAGCTGCTCTGTAGAATATTTTCGTTCGCAGTCGTATGTACGAGGAACAGTGTGTACATGTATCGATAATGCATTTGTTTATTTAAATAACGTACGCTCGTTCTTATATCATTGGATCGTGCACGTTTGTTTAAGATATCATGTAGACCAATATGTCATCTGTGCTGAATTTTTCTTTTCTTTTTTGTTGTGCTGTCATTTGATGCATGTGTGAAGTCTGAGACTTCGGGAGAGTCTTGATATGTGTTTTCTCTTTACAAGGCATCTCGAAACTCCAAGCTAACACGGAAACATCGATCTTGAACTTAGAGTTTTCTTGATTTTGGGTTCATAGTTCTGATGGTAACGGTATTAATTCGAAAAGATCCACGCATATTCACCGTATGTATGTATGTATGTATAGGAAACGTTTCGAAATAGTGAATGAAAACGCTAGTCCCCCGAAAGGGCACATGCAACCAAAAGTCTCGAAATATTTATTGAGAAATATTCGGAAAAAGCATCAGTGATGAGAGGGGGAATAATATTTTGTAATTCAGTCACGTTGGTTTTATAATTTCCGAAGGGACCGCGTATGTTGCTTCTCTTCCTCACGGAAAATGAAATAGACAAACGGACAAATGAGCGGAGGGATGTGCGTATATGCATGTGGTGATACGACAAAACGACGGTCGCTATATAAGCACCCTAGTCTCCTAGACCAGAGGAAAGGTATTGCAGAACACCCAGAAAGTAAACTGAGAAGAACCACAGCCAGAGAGAGAGAGAGAGAAGTTGCAGAGATGGGTAGAAGCCCTTGCTGCTCCAAGGAGGGCTTGAACAGAGGTGCGTGGACGGCTCAAGAAGACAAGATCCTCACTGACTACATCACAGCTCACGGTGAGGGCAGATGGAGGAACCTCCCCAAGAAAGCAGGTCCTTAATTTTGCCAGTAATTCTTCTTTTCTATTTGCTTTAAGTGAGCTTGTGAAGATAGTGGGAGAGATCAAGATTCATCTGGGTCAGTCTGATTCTCGAGAGATAGTTACCATTATTCACTAGGAAATGAGGTTTCGTCTGAAAAAAGATGGAAAAAATTTGCAGGGTTGAAGAGATGCGGCAAGAGTTGCAGGCTGAGATGGTTGAATTACCTGAGGCCTGACATCAAAAGAGGCAACATATCACCTGACGAGGAAGAGCTCATCGTCAGGCTTCACAAGCTTTTGGGGAACAGGTAAACCTTTTTATTCTTTATTTTTTCGTCTCATCTCACTCTATGTAAGTACTGGTTTGGTAAGTCATCTAACTGTGTATAAATGAACTCGCCGGAACTTTTTGTTTAGATGGTCTCTCATAGCCGGGAGAATTCCAGGGCGAACAGACAATGAAATAAAGAACTACTGGAACACCAACTTAGGCAGGAAGGTCCAGAGCAATAATCAAACCAACTCCCAATCTCGTGATGGTCATGTCGATCAATTATCCCCAAATCATCATGACGATGACGATCCACCCAATAAAATAAAGACCCTGAAATATTCCGAGACATCGAAAATGTCTACTGATGATAATAGCGCATCCAAGTCACCATCAAGTAAGCCCAATCCTCGTTTGGTCAAGACCAAGGCATTCAAGTGCTCCAAGATCCTCATCAACCCACCACCAGAACAAGAACTTCACCAAAATGAAGATCCTATCAACACAGACTTGGCGGCGGTGGCGGTGGACCTGGCTCCCACTGGGGTCTTGCCGCCATTCACAGGGGATATTCCGGCGGATCTTTTGATGGATGACTTTGAGATTGGGGAGATCTGCTTGTCAGAGCTCCTGAATTTCGACTTATCAGGCATCAATAATCAAGATCAATTCAACAACAACAATAGCAACACGAGCAGTGACGATCTGTTCGCTGATCAGAGCCAAGTGCAAGGTCTGGGTTGGGCAGCGATGAGTAGTGACTGTGTTCATAATAATCATCAAGCAAATGCTGGCTCCAACTTCCATCAGGCTTTTGCTTCCCTTCTTGACTATAATGGTGGAGATCAGTGGCTATGACTATGACATGAGCATTATATGTCACCGTCGCCGAGCCATTGTTCATAGAAGAAGTTGCATATAGTGACACACTAGGCTGCTCTGCTGTTCATGATTCCTTTTTTTCTTTTTGGGTTTTTGCCAATCACTCTGTTTATTCACTCGTGGATTAATTGTACGGGTCTCTAACTAAAAATCATTGCATAAGATGATGTTGGCCCAACCTGTCAGATAAATAATCCCAAGATTAGCTGTACAGCCTGTACTTAGCTCCGAGGGAGAGAGGAAGAGAGAGAGAGAGAGAGTGCGAGAGGGGCTCTGTAAAGGATGTCTTTTTCAAATTCCTGCTTTAACTTTCTTGGTTCTGTGCAAGTCACTTGCTTTTTTCACTCGGTCCCTATTCAGGGCGTACGATGGATCGATCATCCCTGAGATTCCGAGATTGTTGCAAGCCAAAGCGAATTTGTCGTGTAAGTTTCGTCGTTTGAAAATTTGTTTTCTTCTTGGCAGCATATATAAAATAGTTTTTCCATCTTTAGATGGTTCGCGACGAGGTTGTCTAGCTAATTCCACGCAGACGTTTTTGCGCTCTGGTCACTGCAGCAGCAAATGACATCGGCATTATTCTTATCAAACAATCAGTCAGGATAATCGCCGGATACCCATATGCAAAGTCATCTCATACAAGGAAGCACGACCATATAAAGCTTCTTGGCTTTATACGTAAAAATCAGTCTCAATATGCAAAAGTTCAATCTACATGGGGCATATCGACGTTGACCTCAAGGACCCGGGCATGGCTTTTTCTCTGCAACATCCTGTGAAAGAATAAAATAACAAGATGGCTTAAACTCCGCAACAATGTGTATCATCTTCTGAGTTCAAGCTCTCTCTTTTGGCCCCCTTTTGGCTGCCATGATAGTTTCTTGTTCAAATAACAAGAAAAATGGGATCCTGATAGCGATGGTAACAGCAAATCTCCAATGTAGAAAACTTCAGCTATAATTGATTTCCTTTATAAGAGAGACAATCAAGAGAATCAGTTTCACAAGAAACGCGCGTCGACAGATATATGGTTTTTGGTTTTGTGGCCCCAGCCTCATTAATTACTTTATGGACATCACAAATATATAGTTTTTGGTTTTGTGGCCCCAGCCTCATTAATTACTTGATCTAAATAAAATCTTCGGTGTAATATCATGATAGAGGGAAATATCTGTCAATTCTTAGTAAGATCAACTAGAGAGAGTTCTAAATTTATGATAAACAGTGAACTGCTCCTGCTCATGTTAAATAGGAGGGCAAAACAGTTGCTGTGATGAAAGCTCAAGATCTTAGGGTTTAATGCCCCCTCTCCTCATAGACGGTTAGTAAAATAACAAAATCATTGACCACTGCTAATGTTAAGTCCCCCTTTTCGTTCCCTATATCGCCGACGTCTCTACACAGAGAGGAGAGTGTTAAAAAAATAATGATTGCAGTACACTGACATGAAAAAGAGGCGATGCATGACCATGCAATCGACTTGGTTCGTGGAGGCATACGTGATTATATTAACTAGGAGGAGAGTCATCCACGACATAGACGACAGCAATGTTTCACATTTGTCGACTTGTAATTTGCCGATGGTTCATTTTCGACTAGTTACTGTCAATTGCTGTCTGACTTGACCTTCAAAGGCATGTGATGCACAAGCACTAAACCGTGATTTGTAATTTGGTGATTAAATGTAAGAGCCGTGTTTTTTTTCTCATTAATTTTACGATGCACGTGGAGTTCAGCAATTTTTCTTCTCATATAATGCTTAGTTACTATGTGTTTTCATCTTCTGCATCTTGTTTGGCATCGACTTATCGATGTGGCCAGCATGTCAAACAATCTATTTGAATATTTGCAATAGTCGTTAGACAACGAGAGATAAATCATCTACCGTGGGCTTTTTTTTTTTTTTTTTTTTTTTGCAACTGAGGATCCGCCACCATTCTCCGGGGACGAGCCCGTACAGGTAATCGGGGTGCCTATACCTCGGGGGAGACTAGCCCAGTAACCCACCGCCAGGGCCCCCCATTTAAATTACGGAACCGAGCGGGGATTCGAACCCAGAACCTCTTTAAGGGAAGGAAAGCGCCAACAAACTCGGCCATGCGCAGGTGGGTTACCGTGGCCATTTTCACGACTCTTCCACCCTAAAAAATTTATTACCTTCTGTTTTCCTGTAAAATTTTACTACAAACATGCAGTTGAGACCAAATAACTAATCTTCTCAATTTAAATATAACACCACTTCTCAATTTGCAGATAAACAACATCCAAGACATGCAAATTTCTACCTAGAACTCCTTCAGTTTGATTGCAGTTGATCAGTGTACAATGGCATCATCATTCAATGAATTCATGATAGCATAAAGTGGAATTAGTTTACCTAACCTTCTCAATCTGAGGTAATTAAGACATTTGCGGAGCCTAATAAATCAAGAAATGATCTTACTGGTTTCCCTTTTCTTGGGTCTACGAATTGACATTTTGTCTTCCCTCAGACAGTGAAGTTTGTGAACGAGGCTTAAACTATACAAAAAACTTCGATGAATGGCCTCGTCACGATGCATCGACGACGACAAAACGGCATGGTAATTGTTTAGGGTTTCGTTGTCATTATAGTATTGCACGCGCCCTAACTGAACTAGTGAGGTCCTCACGTTAGCATCGTTCTTAGTCTTCCCTCCAGACAGGACGATATTTCTTGTATCCTTCAACTTCTTTCAACCATCGACTGAGCAAGAAGGACTTCTTCCCACAACCTGTAGCAGTCGAGAAACTGCAAACAGAAAAAATATGGAGACAAATCGGGTTCTTGACGATAATTACTGCACAAAATCCTCTCGACAGATCTTCCAAGGCTTCATTTTCAGCAGAATTCAGATGTTAATTACATGACAAAGGTCATAGATACCGAAGGATCGGATCTATCCGACAGCTTAAACTTGTAAAATAAGTCGGTAAATGTTTGGTAAATATTTCTAACCGCTAATAGAGCATAAAGGTTTTGGGTTCAACCATATTCCTAGGCACTCACTTGGGGATAATTGCCAAAAAAGTTCTAAACCTATTGTACGGAAGCCAATTCAGTCATTAACCTTTCAATCATATCAATTTAGTGCTAAACCTTTTGACGATTTGCCAATTTAGTCCTAAACCTTTCAATTGTGTCAATTTAGTTATAATTTTTTTCAAAATTTGCCGATTTAGTCCTAAACCTATTATTTGAAGATTTGACCTGAGTGGCTATATTGGCAAATTCTCAAAATGTTTAGGATTAAATCGGCAAATCGTCTAGAGATTTATGACTAAATTGGTACAATTGAAAGATTTAAGACAAAATCGGCCTCTGTGACAATAGGTTTAGGACTTGCGGGACAATTTTAACCTTTACCTCTCCATCTCAATCTTAGTCTTAAGCTAAAGGTTAATTTATGCTTTGGAGGCGACTCCAACTACCGAAGTAAATTTATTCACTTGTCATCTCCTCTCTCTTTTTTCAATCTCGATTTGAAACCGGGTGATGTTTTTGCGAGAGCTTACGTGTTCTTTTGATTTTGATAAATGAGCGGAGTCAAATTGCATGGTCCTGATGTCTCGTTGGAGTTAGCTGACATCACATGATTTTATGCATTTCCTAACTTTGTAATAAAAAACAATTTCGACCGTGGACCTACAGAAGATTGTTATTTGGAGAAAATGATTTTTTGGGACCCTAAATGACATCCCGTTCGGGGTTTGCGTTTACTAGTCTCTGGAAAATGATTTAAAATAGAGTGATCACGAGATTCATTATTTAAATTTTTTTTAGGAAACTCTAGAAGGGGCAATCGCTTTTCCACTTGTTACATGGCTTGAATTCTCCCACGGCAAGTTATGAGAGGGACCGAGAAAACATAAATATTTGTCATCGTCCATGATTGACTACACGAAAGGTATTTTCTCCTCGATTGACATTTTCCAATTTCCATAGGGCCGCGCTTTTTCCGCTCCTCATATGATTTAGACACTCCCATTTTTTGTGTTTTGACCAGATTATCCTTTATGGGGCCCATCATTTCTAGTACAACTCCACAAAAGTGATCTTTTTTTATTATTTGGATATCATTTCTTCTTTTTTTCCTTTGCGAGTCTCACTTTCCTTCTTCTTCTTTTTTTCATGCCTTTGACGTCTTAATTCTTCACTCTTGCGAATCGCCTTTGGCCTCCATTGTTGTCAAAGAAAATAGATTACCTCAATTCTCCTAAGATCAAACAACCATATTAAACATATCATGTATCATTATTTCCAACAAGTCAATTAATGAGAAGCAGCAACAGCACCACAAAACTGATGATGAAAAACTTATGGAAACGATAGTGAGAAATTGAACCCAGAGGAAGAAAAAGTTTATAAGACGTAAGTATGCTACAGACTACAAAGAAATTGTGCAACTGATTCACAAACACTGTTTTGATGCACACTATACTCTAAACGTAGAATTGAATCACAAAATCAAGAATTTCTATGACCCAAAAGTCAAATTCACTTTTATGAAAAGATATCAAGAAATACTCAATAGAGATCGGGAAGAGCATGATTCGAGAACAAGAAAACTAAAAAGAAAAAAAAAACTTTTGCCAAAACCATTCCTCCGATAGCAAATGAGGAGTGTGCCGATTGCTAAAGTAAGCAATGTTTGGGGGATTGCAAATGTTTGATAGATTTACTGGAGAAGAAGGAGGAGTGCGAGGCCTAAGAGAATGACTTGTCAGAGAGAAAATATAGAGACGATTTGCAAAAGCGAAGAATTGAGATGTCAGAGACATGGAAAGAAAGAAAAAAAAGGAAAGTGGGACCCGCAAAGAAAAAGAAGAAGGATCGAATAATTAAAAAAAAATCACTCTTCTAGACATATACCAGAAATGGTGGGCTCCACAAGGGATGATATGGTCAAAATACAAAGAAAAGGAGTGTCTAAGCTAAAGGAGGAGTGGAAAAAGCACAACCCTTTCCATATTATGTACTATTTCTTAATTATAATTCGGAGGGTCAAAAAGCACCGACTCTCAACACCCAGCATGCGTAAACACGTGCACGCTTCTTTTAAGGAAAATTGCAAAAAAGTAAAGTTGGGCTCTTACTCTTTTTCTCGACATTTGAACTTGGCGAAATCCTTTTTCGGGCCAGA